GCTCAACGACTGTTCGGAGCATATGCAGACGTTGTATTGTTTTGACTAAACCACTGTCTGAAGGGGATAACGTGAATGTACACTGACTATATATTGACTTAAAAAATCGTCCATGGCATGGCGTTAGAACTATATCATTGTCTTGCTTATAAACGTGCATTAATGCCACGAGCAAAACGGGCTGTACGGATAAAATGATTAATTTTCGTCATAGTTCTCTGGAAATATACTTTATAGTCGCACAAATTGCATATGACGATTCGTTATGTCATTTTTACTTGCCGAGCAGGAACTACGGTAAGTCATTCTTACGAGAGTTAAGATACGCTTCACAAGACCCGCACATAACTTTCTGCACATAAAGCATTGGAATAGAAGTCTGACTAGGTATCATCCCGATATATGTTTAGCTTGTAACAAGAATCTATTGAGACAGAAACAAAGTTGGCATAGAGAAGTCTGGGCAACGAAAAAGAGAAGTGTGCTTCTAGCATATACAACTATACAGAACAGCACATACGCGATACAGGTCCTCTTGAAAAAGCCATTGTGCATGCACGATAGTGGTATTCAGCTCATGTATAGCTTATCTTGAGCAAAGCTAAAGAAAAATGGATACCGTTGGTCACTTTGAATAGAAGCGAATCGCCACCAGTTCGAGGGCTTTCTTATGCCCCGAAGGTACTCCGTTGGCAAATTTGAACGGCACAAACATGTTTTGCGCAAGAAAACACAGCACCCTTTAGCCTTATTATAATCACAAAGACGACATATAATCCTTACAATATCTGATATAACCATTTGGATCTGATTTATTTTTTCTTTTCGTAACGTGTCGTTATTTAAGTGGCCCGTTTTTAGACATCCGAATATAATGGAGTATACGATAATGTAAGAGTAGCCGAAACATTCTCTCAGTACGATGTGACTTAATTGTGTCGTTGACTGTTCAGTTACCGTGTATGATTAGGTAACGCATCTCTAACAAAATTCTGATGAGCTTTACTTAAGTTCACTTAAATTGTTAATCATCAATTGTCCGCCAGGCCAGAAAAAATGCACAGAGTTTTTAATTGCCACAACAAATCACTGCGTCACATTTCTATTATTCGATAAGTAACATTGGCCCCTGTGCTCTACGTCCGGTGTCTCCCTTGGGCATTTCATCAGACGGACAACTGGCTTTCAGTACGAAACGGATATTGTCTATGCCCGGGTTCGCACACAATGTGTTCCTATGATTAGCAGGCAAATACGGTACCCACGAAGCTATCACGAGGACACGTCAGAAAAATCAGAAGACCTATCGCGGCTAATTCGTTTGATAATAACTGGTCAAAGAGATTTTACATATTTCATAAAAAGTAAACGACAATAAATAGAAACACGCTTGGAAGGAAAAATAGTGGATTTGAAAGCATCTGGCTAATATGGACGTGGAGACGGCAAACTGACGCGAAGGCAAGTTTATCATATGGCCTTTGACATCAAAAGGTGACATCGTATACTCAACGATGATCTTCATCGTAGTTGAAAGGCAGCCTATCTTCTACATATGAATACTTATTAATTTATTGATATGAATGGTTGAAATCTATCGAAAAATAAGACGTAGAGGGCAACAGTAATCTGAGAAATACGTACCACCTTATTTTCTAACAATGCCAAATACACAGAAGCCTTTAATTCAATCCAATTGCTACTAAATTACACTATAAAAAAAAGTACTATAATTCGTACAAGTAGTTGCTCAAACGATTGAATCTGCATGAACTAACCTGACCCTAATGTAAGCCTGTATCGTAGAGAAGGTCCATTGTATCCGAGATACAAACAGATAAGCAAGTTGCAACAAGGTGTTAACGAAGAGATTGCCACCTCGATCGCCTATTATGTCGAAACTATCGATAACATCAAATAATAAGTTATTATTGGTATGTTCGATAATTATGAACAGCATGAGCAGGTTAACATGACTCGGACAACTACTTATTAACCTTTATTCTAGATGCTCAATTGAGGTTTACGGCGCCTTTGACCGGCTTCACATGTCGTTAGTAATTTGCTACACGGCATTTGCACGGACTCATCGACGCAATGGAAAACCGAACACAAAATTGTCAAATCGAAAAATAGCGCCTATGATCACTAGAGAGGTGCTTCAATGAGCTGATAGAATCTGATAGCTCTTGTTACCGCTAATGAACGGATCTCGTTTGTCAGGATTGACTGCCTTGTCCACCGAAAGTAAGCCTTTTTATATCGATGTAACTGGTTGTTTACCGGACGCTGCTTCAAATCGGCTTCGTCTATGAATGGTCGATGTGATTACATTAAACGAGACTAGCATCACACCGATCTCGGCCCTAATTCGAAAACTATCATTCATTGTCGACAAGGGTTCAGGTCAGGTGAATTATTAGTATTTGCTCAAAAATCAGAATTGCTGCTTTCATCTTAATTCTTTCTCTTTTATACGATTTATTCAGTGACGTTCAGAAAGAGTCTTGTTTTATAAGCGAGCTGTCCGCGTCCGGACTAGCAGCGTAAAGGGGGTAAGTTTTTTGCGCCCATTTAGCCCTATGTAAGTAGAAATACGGTACAATGGATGTAAATACCGAGATCCGACTATTTTGATGTGCTCAGTAACGCATGCACTGTCACGGTATAGGTTATATAACCGGACAAAGCCGTAAGGCAATCGCTTAAGCAGGAGCACTCTTGGACGCTGTCAAATAAATAAGGGAGTACTTTGGTGAAAAACGATTCTACCTCACAGAAGAATAAACAATATATTAACAAAATAATCCTACAAATAAATTTCACTCAATCAAAAGGAACAATAATAAGTGAACCATACGTTGACACCTCTAAAAATACCGAAGACTGCCCTACTGATCAAAGGCACTTTCATTCAATAATATTCAATACATTTGAGATCGGTGAACTTGTTTACTGAGGTGTGTTTCGGCGATAGAAAGACTCATACATGCTTTTTAGAAAGAAGCTCCCTAGTTTTATGTGCAGACGCCATTCGCTTTTAATGATATCTGGTTGAAACATTGTACGCTGGTGTAGGCGTATAGATAGTGGAATTCGGTAGTATTTGTGGGCCCCCGTGATAAATTAATGGGTAACGCATTTGCATGCTAATTTTACGGACACATTGTGGTTTGGGTTTGAACTTGGGCGTCGACTGTATGATGGAACGTTTAACGACGACATCGAGCTCAAAATATAGAGAATTCGTTTTTAATAGAAGTGGGTTGGTAGAACGTTATTCATAGAAAAGAAGATTCCGTGGGGGAAAACGGCACACTTTTGCACTGAATCGCACACATCTATTAAACAATCGAACTTCTAATGTAGAATGATCGAGAGAACATTTAGCTTTGTTATTATGGTAGTAACGACTAGCGAGAAAAACTGGTGAGAACTAGTATAGATCCCTAGCATTTATTGACTGTGTTACTAAATTTTTGAAATAACTATTGTAATTATTATAATGATAATTTTGAAAGAATAGCTTTGGTCATTAGAAAAATTCGTCTACCGATATCTGTTGAACAATTTTCACAGGTAAAAAAAACTAGGCGTTGATGCTACGCAGTTTATTCAGAAACGCTCGCACAGAAATTTGCTTTTTTGTTCCATATGTAAAGGTATACACGTACTCTAACGACGTTGATTATAAATTGTGTTATTTACGTATTATATAGATCCACACAGCTCAATAAGGCGTAAGGCGCGGTAATCGATTTGAATGTTATTAATAAGAGAACTACATCTGCTTCGGAGTCTTAATTTAGTAGATCATAACGCTGTCGTCTGTTACGTTCATCTTTCATACAGCATATATCATATCAAGAGCTGAAGCAAGTATATTAGTACGACTGTACTTAACACGAGGGTTCACCGGAGCACTCGATCGTCGAAGGACAGCGCTGAGGAACTTTAGTCCCTTCTCAACGCCAGGTAGAATCTCACCCATCAGAATTGCTTAAGAACCTCTAATGGCTTTGTTCTTATGCCTCAAGGCTAGTAGAACATAAGTCGGCGCAAGTTAGGACAGAAAAAAGAAAAAGTTACGAAGTCAACGCATGTAGATGTTTATAAAGCATTATCATGAAAGGAAAAAATAGTTAAGAACAGTGGTTGAAGTCGCATTGGGACTGACGAAGATTACGCGCAGCGCAGAAACATCTGAGAATATGCTAAACATATGAATATAAATGACTAAATTAGCTTTGCTCCCTAGTTCAAATCGGTCCTGCGCTGACGTCTTCAGGGCTTTAACCGTTTGAGTTGGCTATCGGCCAACTAATCCACCCTGTCGTGCACGCCCGTTTCGCAGAGTAACAATCAAGTAGACACGCGTAGATCAGAAACGCGACCCCGGGTGGACGGGCATGCATGACAAGCAAGAAGTCATACGGGAGGCGAGAAAATACAAAATTGAAGTTGTTATGTCACGTCCATTTCAACACTGCAACGTATTGTGCCCAATGAGATATACCAAACATTAATTCAACCTTATAAAAGGTTATCCTTGTTTGCTGAAACAACCTCGGCGTTTAGCGTTCATCTGATTTAGATTTGAAGTTGTCGACTGCTGTCCTCCAATCTGACTATTATGAGCGGTCCAAGTATGCGCAGAACTATAACTACTGAGCACTGTATAATATATCTACAAGAAAGCTAGATTACATCTTTGTAGAGTGTGAACATGTTAGGAGAGCGGTAAAATTTTAATAATAGATCCCGAATACTAGTGTTATCGACCATACGGCCCTTCCTAGCGGTTCGCGTTAATGTCCGCATAGCATGTCGGCAGTTCGGTGTAAACTGCTTGTCGACCTTCCGGTTCACTTGTAAGTCGAGAAGCCTAGGAGGCCACTGGGGTCGTGAGTTTCCAAATCCCCACGTGTGCCCCCACCTGTACATATATCTGTAGCTGTAGCTATGTGTTAGAGTACGGGTACTAGCGATAATAGTAAAAATAGTAATTATGTAGGATACAGATGTTGTAGTCAAATAGCACGCGACCGCCACCTGGTTCAGCTCGACTCAACTAATAGAATCGAGAGCTGACGCACTAGTGTGACGCCAGTGAGTGCAGGGTTTCTTAGTCACATATTGCTCTTATTGCTTGCACGTCGTCGACTCGAGAGATACGCGCGGACCTCTAACAATGACAGAAAATCTGAAAGACAAATCTGTACTGGGGCACGTCATATTTGCTGTTTTTGCGTTCTATTGACCACTGCTATCACTATAGTTCCCGCTCTTGTGTCTGTTGTCGCTGCTTGCTCTCAGAATATGTTACCACCTTTGAAGCGTGAGCAGCAATCATTACCACGCATATGTACCAATGTTTCCGTCTGTCACTATCTGAAATGTTTGTATCCTAAAGTTGAAACATCTATCCAGTCCCCGGTATTCGGACCTTAATGACGAGTTTCGTGACTCGCCTTAACTGGGTTAGAAGATAAGGGAGAGAAAAACTAAGCATGTATTCGCTGGAATGAAGAGTGGGGTTAAAGCCACAATGGAGTCAACATTTTGCTCCTCCCGTACTTTCGATGACCCCACTCCGACTCATTCCCAGAAAGCAAAAGGGAACTCATCCCGTTGTCTCTGCTATACCAAATGCATATTGCACTTCGACTCTGTAATCAGCAGACACAGCGTTACTTCTTGCTAGTTTTCCCTGCTGCCATCTTGCGATCGCTGTTGTTGTTGTCTACGCTCGGATTGACGGACCTAAAACCGTGCTCGCCATCTGACTTCAGCAGAGTGTATGGTCGTTGAATAACGGCGAGAAGCGCTCCAGATAGAACGAGCGAAAGATTACGAGACAGCTGAAGCTTGACACACACACTGATTGTACAATCTTTTTGAATAAGGATCTATGTGTGCGTGAGTTTACAGAAAATTTGGCTGTAGCCCTTTAAATCGTAAGATAAATATCGACATCATTGTTACTTCGTTCTGTTCCGTCGCCTCAAAGTAGCTATTATATTGTACAATTGACGTTTGTTACGAGACCTGCTCAAGCCTTTTTTCACAATGTCATACACAGCTGAATCCATCACCCTTTTGGTCCCTTACTCTTTTTCCGTAAAGAAGGTAGAAAAGCGAAGACAAGGCGTACCCCCGACAGATACTTGCTATCTGAAACAAACTGATGTTATCAATATATTGTGGTACTGTTCGTTGTAAGAGTGCTACGCTCTGCATGAGGCCACTGGTGGTTTTAGAGCGTTTAACTTGCCTCCAGCTCAGCGATTTCAACGCCAACGGATAGCCAGTCAAAGCAATGAACAGGTAAGAAAGCCACAGCGCAATCCTAGTGGCAACGGCCTATAACAGCCGTATCGTAGTGCGCGGTAACTGCTGCGTAAAAAGAAGCGACTTATGGCAAAATCATTTCTCTCCTTACGTCGATAGACAGACAGATATTGTATAATAGATACACCATGTCTGTTGATCAAGTTGAACGAAGCAGACGATATTGCTAGCGATGTCACATTCAGCGTACACGGAATACAGACAGGGCTAGCAGTAATAGTATAAACTGCTATTGTTAAGTAGCATCAAAAAACTAAGCAACACATTTACGTATAAATCTGAGTGTAAACAAACGACCGAACATTTATTAACATCAGATATAAGAATACATCGTATAACAAAATTCAATTGAGAATCATAATAACTAGGCCCTAATAAAAAACAGACAATAGACAAGTCATTTTATTTAAATGCGCATGCATAAACGAAACGCGCTATTATATATTTGACAGAGATTTAGCGTTAATAGTGAAATTGGTATTTAAATACACCTCAAATACGTTATCCGTTTTTTTAACATGTGTGTTCTCGTCTATCGCGTATTATGCACATGCTTGACCGACCAATGCTCTATAGAAAATGTACTTATAATGATCTGATATCATTCATGTTTATTTTGGCGCCTGTGTATTCATATACAATAGACACACTCGACATACATCTAACGCAGCATGTGGAACGAAGACACACCCTTCTAGGATTCTGTAACTTTATTCAGTCAAGTTATCGGGTACAAAACGTCGCCCATAGACCCATCTGCTACACCTGTTCGTTCGCGTTGGTTACTGCCGCTCCACAGTGAGGACAAGCGACGACGCACTCATCCCTCTGTTGCCATTGGGTCCTGTCTCTGTGGCGTCAGAGAGTCGCCGTTCATCTGGCCTTGTAGCCACTTACAGCCGGCTTCATCACGGCCGCAATTGTAGCACTAAACCAGGGCGCCACCAGAATGTCGTCTGCTCTGAACGGACCGTTACGCATGCGCAGACGACTAAGCGCAGACCCCCAAACTCTGATTGGCTGGTGGCACAGCAGCGACCACAACAGACGACACCGGCGGCGGTTGTTTGTTTGCTGTGTGCGGCCGTGCGGCCGCCTCCTAACAGCGGTAACTGTCTCTCTTCCCCTAGCGAGCAGCCGCAGCAGATATTGCTGATGCTGTTGTCGTTGTTGTTGTGTAGAAGCGTAGTTCTTGTTTGCTGCTTTTGCCATTTCAGGGACGAATAAAGCTAGCTAGTACTACTGTGAGTGCTTGACTATTAGTCCAAGTTCGCGAGTTGTGTCACACCTTTAGCTATCTGGCTCGGTGAAGGTGGGAGCCACTACTTGATAGAGGGGAAATTATTTTCTTTATCGTCGTCGAGACGGTGGCGACCTGTGGCGGTGCGTATCCTAGTGGTAATAGTGAGCGAACGAGCTGTTGTTTGTTGTTCATGGTTCGTCCAGCTGCTGCTGCTGATGTTACTGGCAGTCTGACCTGCTGTTTTTTTTTATGTTGACGACGAAGCCTATGCTGTTGTACTTAGTCGACCTGCGTTTCTTCCCGTTTGTGCTGATAGGTGGCCGTCAAGTCTGTTCCTGTCATAAGCTGTTCGCAGCTTGATCTATGCCTTCTAGCGTTGATTTTGTTGCGGTGGATCGGCGACACGTTAAGTTGATTAGAGAAGAACTCGCTGGACAGCTATGACAGTTATGACTAACAAGCAAATGCTGAGTCGACATTCTATGCAACGAGTTGCTAATAAAAGCACAACATTCAGTGGAGCATATAGTGGCTTTAGCACTGACTCTACGGAAAATTTATAAGTGGGTACGGCGGTTTCGGTGCGGTCGGCATTCGCACAGTCTGAAATAGAGACAGTCAGACCGACGTACATAGGGTCAGCCCGCCAACCTCGTTGTCCCTTTACGTTTTGACGAATGGCACTTCGCAGCATAGCAACAAAGACTCCTCCACCTGTTTTTGTATTGGAAATCCCACAGACACCGAAAAAGCGGCCTGGCGGTGCAGTTCACCAGAGTCAGCATCAGCCTCCAAACCCGAAAAGTGTCAGTGTAGTTATCACAAAAATGACAGCAGATAGTATCGAACCCAACAGCAGCGGAGATGGGATGAACCTACAGAGAGACGGTGCTGATACTGCAAGTATGACTCCTACAGCTGCTGCCTGTGATAGTGACGTGAGTAGCCCACATCGGCAACAACAACCTTATGTACAGCACAACATTGACCGGTATTTTACACCACAGCCGGTGTCCCCGACGCTCCCAAACCAATCGTTACCAGCCCAGACGTTGCCACAGCAGACACAATCCTTCCAGTCCGATCAGTTGGTATTAAACCCGCCTGTAGATAGCAAAGATAGCAACCACAGCGTGAGTGAATATGAGAGCAGCGTCAGCGGTAGCAACAATAACAACGACCACAAACCACAAAAAGAGAATGTACCTAATACAACGACGCTGCTGCCATCGTCGAAAAACGGTCAACAGCGGAGCAGCGGAGGCAACAGCAGGCAGAATTCGACGGCACGCAAGGGGACCAGCAGCCGGCCGACGGCCCGTCGCAACACAGGTAAATCTCAAACGACCCGCACTCAACGGAAACAGCCGTCAGGACAGAAATCATCACAACAAAAGCTGACCTCCGACGTTGACGGCGGTGTAGTGAAGACGCAAAGTAACAACGACAACCAGGATGAAGACAAGGATGTAAAACGCATCACCGATTTTTTCCAACTTCGGCGAAGTCATCGGAGAACGAAGGGCGAGATGATCAAGTGTAAACAGATGCTTATGGAGGAAAAGGTGCTACATGCTGATGAAACAGGATTCCAGATTGTTAAGTTTGAGGATAAAGGGCGAGGTGTTATATCGAACGCCAATCTGAAAGCTGGTGATTTCGTTCTCGAGTATGCAGGCGATCTCATTGATTTAAAAGAAGCACGACGTCGTGAAGAATTGTAAGTATGCAATAATTATCTTACATTTAGCTTACAATTAACAGTAATTATGATAACTTGTTTGTATTATATTTGTTTTTGCATATAAAAATATTTTCATACATTTTTTCTGTGCAGTTGACTGTGCAAGTGCTTTAAACTTCCTACAGGATAGTGAGGATGCACGTGCACACTACTAAGTTTTTATGGGTTTTTCATAAAAAGCAAAACTTTCCTTACGCTCATATCGGAGTTGTTTTTCAGCGGTGTCATTATACAAATCAGATTGAGTATTGTTCTATCACCTACGTTAATGGGCGCTATGAACGGTTTTAGACATGCAACTTTATCGTATTTCTAATTGCTTGTATCGTCCACGCTCATCTGTAGCCCTTGCCAGACCAGAAAAATAGTTCGGTTCATATTCACCTTTAAACATGCTTTTATTTTTATATATGATGCTAATGGTTTGAACGATCGTTAGCTCGCCTTGCGGCCCCAAATATCTAAACTGAACGTTTTTTTTCAAATAGACATTTCGTGCGAAAAATTGACGCTATCTTTGAAGCGTGCCCACCGGAAGTTACTTGAATTAGCTACTTGTTGACATCGTTTCTAAAGCGTGTTGCATCTAAATTCTACCCATGGGCTAGTGTGAGTCAATCACTAAAGCTCCCCGTCATTTAAAACGGCGACGTTTCGTCCAACACACTGACCTATTGACACGAGTCAATCACGAAAGCCATGATGTATAGCCCCACAATTGAAGTGAGCTGATAGTATGACTCAGATCCTATGATTTGTTGGCCTAATACACATTATTTCATTTATGAAATAAATTAAAGAAACCGAGATAGTAATGGGCTGTTTTCTCCTTGATTGCAGGTATGTACGGGACGCAGCTGTGGGGTGCTATATGTACTATTTTCAACATGAGAATACGAACCACTGTATCGATGCTACCCTTGAGAGTGACCGCCTTGGTCGACTGATCAATCATTCAATTCGGAGCGCGAATCTAAAGACAAAATCTGTTACAATCGGTGGTATCCCGCGGCTAATATTTGTCGCTAAGCGAGATATTATCGCCGGTGAAGAACTTCTTTATGACTACGGTGACCGTAGTAAAACGTCGCTTCAAAGCCATCCTTGGTTGAAAAATTAAATTTCCAAAACTAACACCAAACTGTTTCATCACGTTTGCATTAGCCTTTGAGCCTGCCCATACGTGGCGAACGTCGTTGGATTTAGTAAAGTAAGCAAGCTTTACAATCCGAACGTTAATGCATACGTCTCGCTTCAAGATGATACGACGACCGTACGGCAACACGACGTCAGCCTTCGTTTGACTTAAAGAGACAGCTTGTTTTTCAAGAAATTCGTGCGATGTACACGATACATGTTTACTATCTGCTGTTACCGAGATACTTGGTTGGTGGCGGAGCGTGCCTCATCGCTTCGATGTCAAAGTGCCAGTATCTTCACTTTGAAATGGTTTCAAATGTGTCAAATCATAGATTACTAAACGAGCACAATCCCCGTCAAACCCACCGAACATAATGTATTCACACGACGAGAATAGACACAACACATTATTCAGAACATAGAATGCTTTATCAATTCGACGAGATTAATTTATTAGATTTTAATCACATACGTGTTAACGACGAATTTGTTAGCTGTACAAAGGGTTCTTCTACCTATCTATAGTCGCTTTGCAGAAAAAAAAAAACGCGGAGTAAGTACGCTACGCCGACGGGCATGAAAGACGCGGCGCCACTCGTTCTTATATCTTGCGTTTTCTCTTGCGTTTTTTACAACCTAATGAGCAACCTGCGAATGTACATATCGCGCTACCCACGCCACGGCAAAAGAGTGGTGAAGTTGACAATAAAATAAAAGAGATAAGTCTATTATAGCAATTACAAGTAAGTGTATCTTGAATAAGCCATTGCAGCGTGTTCATACGATGCCAGCAGGCAAACAGTTTGTACATAAGTTTGTAGCACATGCCTATATATATACGACCATTACAGCAAGATATAATAGCAACAATAATGTTTAATATTAATGATGAAGATAAAGGGTATTAATGATTTCATGGAATACGAATAGCTGGTAGCTTCAACGGCAACGGACGACGTATTGTACAGAAGAGGCTGCCGTTCGTCACCTGCTTTACGCCGCATACCAGTTCAACGTAACCGTTGTATAGAAACAAACTGATAAAAATATCATGAAACAGGAACAAATAAAACGATATCTGAATGACCCATACATTGGGTTTTATTCTGTACATTTGGCTGTCAGTAACCGTTTATGGCTTGATCTTCATTTCGACAAAATGATAGAAGCTCAAAGGATTAAGACATCGCCTAATCAGATTTTTGGTCATCTATTACACACCAGCTGTTGATTTTTAAGTAGATGCAAGTGGTTTACGGGTATATCGCAGTGTTTGTGCCGGCTTGGTTTCATGAAGTAGAAACCTGAAATTGTAAACGACAGCGCTTTCCCTAAAATTTACAAAGAGTTACAAAAGCTCTCTATAAATTATTAGATCCTTCGAAAACACTCTGCCTTATGTAAATAAATGAAATATGATCTTATGAAAGTTTGTCACTTTGTAAGTAGCGATTGTTTAAGTTACAGAATCTACTGGGATACGGTCCTCGCCCAGTGATCCCACACAATATCATTACGTAGAAAATAAAGGACGAGAAACAATAATGGTAGAAGCACAAATCATGTGTGCATAAGGGAATATTTGTGAGCTTCTGCGAAATTCCTATTAAAAACCGCATGGCAACTAGGGGGGAAAACTACATTCTAACCGCCCTTATGCTCATGCCTACTTTGCATATATTTCAGGTAGCATTGGATTTGAAATTATGCCGTAACGATTGCGGAAAGCGCTGACAACACTCAAAAAAAAAGAGGTAGAAAAATACGTTTTAGGAACATAATGACCAGATTGTTAATCTTTGGATCTTAATGTATCATATTTCTATCAATGATCATTATTGCCATGCAGAACATGACGACTTGGGAAAAAGACAACCTGTTTTCTCTTATTGAAAGCGTACTATCCTAATTTGTAGCTGCAAGACGCAGTTTAAATTTTCGTTGTTTCTTTCGGCACCTTTACATCTTTCGACCCTGATATTTTCACCATCAGGGTCATCCCTTTAATGTGAGATGTTTATTCCGAACCATATATGCCTGTGTATGATAGGCATACCTGCGAGAGGACTATAAAAGGTAACGCAGGAGAAGAAGACAAATGTTGAGGGGCATATAATTGTACCCGAAGAAATTTTTGGGGGCAACTTACCTTCGCTAATATAGCATATTAGAACTGATAGTCGTAAGATGTATGCTATTCTGTTTTTGCTTTGTCGTATTTCGCTATTTTTCTCTTCTATTCTACGAAATTTTGACTTTAAAAGTCAACCAAGTCCAGATTCTTTTTCTCTTGTGATGTTTTTTTACACAATATAAAAGTAGGCTATGTGAGCGCCCACTTTCGCATCGGGCAGTTGCCACTACTCAGGTACAATATTTGCGTGACGCTGCTGAATAATTATGATTGACCGAAGTAGCTCGCTTGGTTTGCCATGATTGGGGACAAAGAATCGATATGAATAAATGTTTGACACTATAAAACACTGTCGAAATTAGAAATGTTCGCGTATACTCTATGATCTTCAGACGAAAGCCGCGACAGTCGCGGCAGTAACAACAATCCGGACACGTTTGGACGTGCAATTTGTTTCTGCAATTCCTGTTGTTGTTGTTGTTGCCTTATGAAATTGTAGAAGTGAGAAAGGTAGAGTATGGAAAGAGTATCGAGACTGAGCGCGAACAAACATCGAAGTCAGGTATATGTGTAATAACAATGTAGTCTTAGAAGAAGGGGAGGACGACGAAGAGAGACATATTCTGTTACTGTATATCGGTGGACAGATCGAAAAAAGGAAGACAAACCAAAAAATCGACTTGGTCTATTCTAGTGTTGTTGCTGTTTTTTGACAGCGGACGAGGGTCGAATCCGAGATGAAACGAGACGATGGTGTGTTTACCTGACTCTCAGAGGAGTTCGGTCGTGTTCGTGTTTTTCTTAGAAACGGCGTACGTTTTTTTCATTGCATCTTTGTACTAATTATATTCTCATTTCTGCGGCTGATGATAACGCCGATTTTCGTAGTTGCGGCAAGGGCTATACCCAGCGTGGCTACGTTCGTTCGCGCACTTTAAATGTTTAGTCAAAGATTAAACTGCTGTTGCTGATTTTGTTACAGTCGCTGTCGACCTTGTCGCGGTGGTCGTTGTCGATTTAAGCTATAGAGGTGAGTGTTGCAACAGTTGCATGACAATCGCAAATAGGATTTCGTGCAAGTGATGGCGCACAGCAACAGCAGGAAGCAGAGAAAAACACACAGGCCAACTACCACTTGGTTTGCGCGCTTGTCCAGTTGGAGCTAGACTTAACCGATCTGCTGCTACGGGGCTGGCCGGTCGGCCGGCAGGTACATAAGCAGACGACATAGCAAAAGTTACGGCAACCTCGCTGACGACACGGGGAGGCGTAAGTAACTATAAACGCTGCGGATTATCGCTAGAGAGAATCGAACAGCCAACCAGTCCTTTATACGCCGTTTTGATGTTTGTTTGGGAGCAGCAAGAGCCTAATAGTTGTAGCAGAAGATACTGGAGATTACTGCTGTTGCCGTTGCCAATTGAGCTTGATCTTAAATGGGAAGAGGAAGTAGGAAAAACGAAACATTTCAGCAGGACACAATTAAAATACCAGTGAAACTTTATATATAAGGATACGAAAACAGCATAATTTTATGTTGCCGTAGCGATTGATGATGACGATGGCCTCGATAGTAACGTTACTGCGGTCGCTGCTTTTCGTTGTTGTTCCGCACCGAATCGACCCGTGACGGGTCTGTCTGTGTGTTCTTTAGCACAGCGTTGTTATTACTGGACTAAAAGGATGGCGGCTGTACTCGCATGAAAGTAATCATTGCTATAGAATTGTAACGTTAAAGTAATCCAACAATGCATGGTCCTGCGTGGCGTTCTGAGACTAATTGTTATATCAACTTTGGCTGCTGTTGCTGGTCCTGTTATTAATGTGCCAGTGGTGGGCGACCCGAAATAAACTAATCCTTTGTACTATTACTACTTATATACGTACAGTTTCTCGGCGCACTGACCGGACATCAATGAAACATCAATAGCAGCAGGGGTCGATTTCTGAAAGAGAACTGGAAGCCGAGCAAACCGCAGGCAGCAACAGACAGCCAGCGACAACCAGGCTAACACTACGGTTATCGCTCGCTGACTGAGCGCCTGCCGCGTGATGACGTTCGTTCCGGTCAGGCAGACTGCAATGACGATGGCGACCATGATGGCTAAGTATCATAGTGGAGGTCGAGTTGAAAAGACGCCGTAGCTACATGTAAGCGGCGGCTGAAAAGCTGCCAGAAACCTGATTGCCGCTACGATAACGAGAGACTGACTGCTAGTGGAAAACAGATGAGCTGAACTGCGATGATACAGGGTGTGATAACCGTGGTGAGAGTCACCACGGTGACGACAAAAATGATCATTATCAATGAGGTTTCTCACCTCTGTGACGGCCACATAGTTATTTACTTATTTACTCGTGGGAGTAAGACGACGCGGGAGTATAAACAGAGAGAAACGAACCGGGTCGGAGAGAATCGAAGTGATTAAAAAATAAAGTTTCCCGTAATGGCCAAGCTCAACGTTGTAGCTCTTTGCTTTATATTCTCAGCTCAATGAAAAACGTGTGTCCGTTTCGGTCTGCTGTGAAATACTAAGGATACTGTCATTATAACTATGATCTATATGACTGCCGTTAATACATAATAGCATAATTGTTACCACCGAATTGGTCAACGACTGTTAAAGATTTCGCGTTTTTTTCATGCATTGGCTTTGACGAGTTAGCATTGCGGAGAAGATCTTACGAGCGAAGTTGATTACTGTTATTCTAATCGCTTGTGACAGTTACCGTTTTGTTCCCATACTTTTGCCATCGTTGACTCTGACGAGCTATGGAGAAATTCGGTGCTTTCTGAATGCCTCTCGAGGAGCGAGAATGGCCGAAGTGGGCAGTAAAGTTGATAAAATAGGCAGAAAGATAATTCTTTAGCAACTACGTTTGCCGGCAAGATCCTTATCTAACTATTGTTATTCAATTGTCCAACGCTAAATAGTCTTCTCTAAACCTATCCTCGTCTCTCGCTATATTCGTGTCTTGCCGTCTTTTCAGTATTTTACTTTTATTATCATCTTCCAGAAGCAAAAACGATACTCAAATTCGACAACGGTGACGACAACAATGGCAAAACGCAACGAAATCGACTCGAGTGAGAAAGCAAAGGAGATTAGACTCTGACGCAGAAAAGATTAGCGCAAATATTAGGAACTCATCCATTAACTGATGTCCGAGGTTAGCTATCGGTATAACGACAATGTCATTGGATTGGTGAATCATCCGGTCAGTTGTTTGGGTCTGCTGCTGTCCATCGATCGCTTTGCTGATAGCATTTATCTGCTAGTGTCTTACGCTAAAGACAGTCGTCTATGGAAGCTACGAATTAAGCAGCGAGCAACGAGGCAATGGCAAGAGATGTACACCGGCAACACTACGTAGTAACCACGACATCTGACTGTTGCTCGTTGTTCTCTCTA